TGTGGGGAGGTTGCGCCATTTGTGGGGGCCACATATGCGGAGGCCGGCACGGCAAGGAGGGCAGCGGCAAGAAGCAAACGCGCCATTGCTACTAGCCCTGGAAGCTATCAAGTGGATTGTCCTTCAGCAAAAATTCTGCACAAGGCGGCTTATATCTCAATCAAAAGTTTCACAAACATTCACAAACAACATCAAACAACTTGATTGGGCGATTTCTTCCCCCTATGGTTTGCGGCACTGCTACCCTTTTGAAATGCCTTTTTGGAGCCTCCTCCATAAAGTTGCTCGGCTTAGCCGATGCACGTCTGGACATTTGCACGTCTTGTGTCACAACCATTGGGAACAGCTGAGAACCACGCGACACCGACTACATATGGAATCCGGAATCTAAAACTCTGTGCGTGCTGCTGCTGCAGCCGCAGAAAATCCTGCTGACAATCTACTGTGTGGCCAGCAATCAATCAGCCCCGTAAGGCCTGGCTGCATGACTCTCTCTCTCTCTCTATCTTTCAGGCACTTGCCATTCAGACTTCAGCACTTGCCATTCTTCTTCGCGCAAGGGCGGTGGGCGGTATCAGAACATCATGCTACCTCATCCAAAGCGAAAACACACACGAGACATCATGGCCACCGGCTACCCACCAGCCGCCGACCACGTGGTCTTCGTGCTGAAGACATGAATCCACCCCACCGACGAGTTGCTATAGTTCCGCGTGGGTGCAGCCACCTCCCAGCGAACGCAGACGCCACAGCCGACGCGGACCGCCCGACGCGGACCGCGCGACGCGAATCCGCCGACGCAAATCGGCCGATGCTATGGGTGTTGGATCGATCTGTCAAACGACTCAGCCGACTCGAGAAGCGAATCGGTGAAATTCATCCAGTACCAATGCTGGCCCTGCCTCCTTGGTGTTTGTGTGTAAAACACTTGTTCCGTCGATTTGGTCGTTAGTGTGTCTCGGTTGATCCCGGAGTGAGCGTTGCTGTGCCTCGTTCTTGGGCTTTTTCAGGGTCCGGGCAGCTTGGGGCGGTGCTTGAGTCCTGCCGGGCAGCAATCACACAAACAATCGAATAGATGGTCCAAAAAATAATTACAAACTAATCTCTCACATTCCACCCAGCAACATCAAACAACCAGCTTTGCTCTGCTTTGCTTTCTCCTCTTGAGCTGTGTCTTCGAGAACTCCTTCAGCTTACCATTCCTGGGTGATCTTTTCGGCGCCCCTTCTTCGGCCACACAGACATGGCATCATTTTTGGGGCTCCCAGCGCTCCAAGACGCACGTGGATGCAGGGTGCTCCTCCATCTTTGGCCAACTCGATGCGCTCAACTTGACCCTGGACCAGGCGTCCCACTGTCACTTCCAAAAAGCAAGTCAGCAAGTCGAACATGTCACTGGTAGTGTAGACTCGTCGTCTTTAAAAAAGAAAACTTCCAATTTGGATTGAGAACCTCTTCATATTGTTTCTGTGTTGATCAACAGGCTACATAATGGAGAATTTCCGGAGGCGAGTAGGCTCCATCTGACTCAAAACAACTCCGTCTCCAGCAAAGCCCGTACAGTGCGAGTCTCCTCTAGACTCTAGACTCTAGGCTGTCCCCTACGACTCACCACGGACCGGCCTTGAGACCATACCATGGAGGGTCTGCCATCACCACCACCCAATCACCACGATCTGGGCAGACAACGTTTGTTCCGTCCGGCCGGCGACATGTGCGGTTTTGCTTGTTTGGGTGAGGGAAGTTCGAAGCAAATCTTCGGAAAACAGTCAAGCCATCGCTCCAATCATGCAATCGTGCTGCTCAAGGGATCCCTCAAGCCCATCCTTGGTCGGTGACCACCACGTTGTGACACGCATCGGCAAGACCGAGGTGTGAATTCCCTACAAAACTCCAAACACAGATTCCCTTTGCCTCGACAGCTTACAAAAACGGCTGTGAAATCTTCAATCTGTGTCAAAAAAGAAGACACACTGACACTTGAAAACCCCCACTCAGCTCGCAGCGCTCCAGGAATGGCAGGCACGTCGCTCGAGCTCGCCTGGGCCGCGCTCTCCGCGCGCGCGCGGTCCGCTCGCCGCGCGCGCTCTCCGCCGGCCTTGGGCGCAGTGACTTGGACGCGAAGGTCCTGGCGTACGGTTCGGTGGGCCGTGCCGAGTCGGCCGATCACAGCCTCCAGGGCATCTCCCACAATCCTCAGCTGGACGCCACTGTGCTGTGCCTCCTGGACGCCAATCGATCCAAAAGAACGAGAGAGGGAGAGACTCTCTTGGAAGCAACATGAAAACATAGGTCACAGCGGTCTGTTTGAAAGCTTTGTGCTTCTGACAGTGTTGGTTTCAAGAAACTCACGTCACACATGTCAAGGGCTCCATCTTCAAGCGTCGCACCACATCCTGCCAGGTCCCGAACGTGGGGTTTCCACCACACTGCACAAGACGAGGCCAGCAAATGGACGGAGCCACGAAGCAAAGAAGCACTTCTTACGTTTGGCCCCAAAGTAACTAATAGCGTCCTCGCTCCTGGTAGTAAGGCCAGGAGCCCCTAGTAGCGTCCTTGCTACTAAACTTTCTACTGTAAGTTCTTGACTTCTGCATTGTTCCTATTTCCTCAAGCTTTTCTGATTTTCCATGGGTGGGTTTCCCAGGACGCGTGGCATCCCTTCAATTGTCTCCAAAGTTCGGCAAAATCAAGTGGGGATAAGCTGCAACAGCCGAAAAAATCGACGCACAAACCAACGATGCTGGCTCCAGCACCCTTCGAACAACTGATTGACGTGATGCACCTACCTACCAAGAAACCTAACATTCAACTGTTCATCTTGAAAAGGTCGCTTTTCCCATGCTTTTCCATCTCACCCTGCCTGGAACTGCCTTTCCTTCACTTCCACACGGGCCTCCGGTCTTGCGGAGACCCGGCAGCCGTATGCAGCCGTTGTGTGTGTTTCGGGCGGTTAGCCAGGTTCGGGCCTTGAGCTCCGCATCCGTCTGCCTCTTCAAAGCATTCATTCTTTCTTTGACCTCCACCTGTCAAAGAGGAAGGGTCGGAAGGGGGGTCAAAGCTTCGAAAACCCAGCCCAGCGATCAATGCCCCAACCGAACACCGCCCCCCATCGCCTCCATCTGCGTGAGCTGCTGTGCGCGATGCGCCAGATCGCTTTCCTGTGAACCATCGACCGGTCGCCACGTCCGACCTCGACCGGTCGGAACGTCGTTTCGCGGTGAACGCCGGGCGAGGCCAACACCCAAAAAGCACACGAAGACGTCCGAAAGAACCCCAACCACAAACTCTCGTTCTTCCTCCCTGACCACAGTGAGACACTCACCGAACTACGAACTCATCAGCAAACGAATCCGTACAGCAGGGGTGCCAGGGCGATCGCATGCGCCATGCACGGATCCCCGTCGATCCCAGTTGCACCTTCGACTGCGTCTCCAGAATGGCCTGCTGTGCAGCTGCCTGAGGCAGAGAAGGTGCCGGACAGATCCAGCGACAAAACGAGGTGTCAAAGGGTCCAATATGGTCCTGGCTCCACAGCCTCCCGCTGGTCGGCTTCGAGCTTGGCCGCGATGAAGTCCTACGGCGTTGGAAGGCAGGTGGAGGAAGTCCGTCTGCAAAGAAAAATGCAGCCAACAGCCAAGCAACAACATGTTTGTGGCACTCTTTTTGTTCAAGTGCACCAAAACAAAAAAAAAATCCAGCCCCAGCCACCTGTTCTGCAGCGGATGCCTGGCATAAGACGGACAGGTCATCGAAAAAAAAAAAAAAAAAAAACAAGTCGAACATTGTCGAAAGGACCGATGCCTGGCGCTGCAGGGCTAAGAGCCGCCTCTGGTCATCACCGAGCAGTTCTTCAGCTCGTTTCACCTCATTTGGATCGATGGTCTTTGTTCGACAAAATCGCGATCACCTCCAAAAGAATTTTTGGCGATTTCGAACGTTTTCTACATGCTGGACACACCACACACAGCTGTCAACGTTCTCGTCCCTTTGTTTGCTTCCAAACGTGTTCGTGGGACGGCCGAGTACCGGGACGATGGACGGTGGAAGCCCAAGCCGTTGAGCCGTCTCAATGGCGTGGGACTCGCCCACCTGGGGCAACGCTCGAAACCACGCCCTGGAGACATGTCTCCAAGACTTGGGAGCTCATTTAGAGCAAGGTGAGAGGGAATCAATGCGAATCACGGTGAATCAAAAGTTGATTTCAGGTCTTATCGCTTGCAAACATATGTTTCAAAACTTCAAAGCTTCACCTTCCAAAAGTGCAGATTAGCCGAATCAACCTTTCATGATTAAAACAAATGTAGAAATGACATATACACATATATATATATATACATATATACTACATACTTATAAAGAAAAAAATATATATATATATATACCTGAGAAGGGAGGGGACGAAAGCCAGCCTTTGTGCCAAGGGGGGTGCCCTCAGGGTTAGCTTGGCGTTTCCAGGCATGGCTGCCTTTTTTCGTCTTAGGTCAGGGGCGTGTTGGAGGGCAGAGTGGAGAAAGAGTAGCTGGAAGTGGTGAAGTTGACATCGCAGGTCGTCTCATAGGAGGTAGAATCAGAAAGTATAGTACACAGGTTCGGGGGGGGTGCCCTTTTTCGTCGTGGTTGGGGGTCATTTGGAGTTGAAAAAGGGCTCGAAGGAAGTGAGGGGTGGTAGCTTGCTGAGTGGAGAAAGAATTGCCGGAAGTGGTGAAGTTGATATTGCAGCCCCTTGGGCGTGCAAGATGAGGTGATTGGTGAACATCGGGCAAAGCGTACCTTTATGTAGTGAAGTCGATATTGCAGACACTTGCATAGGAGTAGAAAGAGAAGGTAGAGTACATGTTGGGCGGAGTGCCCTTTTTCGTGTTGGTGGAGGGCCGTTTCAGAGGTGAAAAAGGGCACCCATAAGGAAGTGAGGGGCGGTTGGTTGTCTGCTGCGTGTTGGCAAAGAGGAGGGGACCGAGCCCGTGGGCGAGGCTAGCGGCAGGCTTTCGTGAGGGTACTTATGTGTATACAGGGAGAGTGGACAAGGAGTAGCTGGAAGTGGTGGGGTTTGGCAGGGAGTGCCCTCTTCAGTATGGCAACTAAAAAAGGGCGCCCCAAGCAACGCTAAGCTTGCCCGCATCTGCAGTGGGTTCTCTTTCCTGCTCTCAAGTATAGGGTGAGTTCTAACCACTTTTCACGTCCCCTTCGCTTCCCTTTCCTCTCATCCACGTGAAGTCCCACCCCTAGTAAAAACAGTTTACATGGCCTCCTGAGCCCCTCATGATGCTGATGATGCACTCTTCGCCGTCAAATACATCACCGGCATCACAACACCCCTCAAACCACTCATTTTTCACTACCAAGTGGCCCACCTCTTTTTTTCGCTCTCCCCCCCCAGGCTCTGGGTTCACCTCTCCGAAATTGGCAACCTCGCGACCGCCCCCCCACACCCCCTCTACTCACTTCGTTCGCTCCAGCAACCTCAGGCCTTGCCTATCGGCTGGCTTTCGTGATATATGTATATTTGTATATATGATAATACTGCAAACGTCTCCAACCATTCAGCATCTTCAGCTCCGTACAGCGTTGGTCGTCAGGCGATATGTGGGACGTCCCATCTTGTACCTCGTCTCGGTGGTACCCATGCAGCTGGATTATGCCAGCATAGACCCCAAGCAGTTTTGGCATCATTTTGCACGGCAACTCCTTTAATTCCAATGTGGGGGGGTAACGAGCAAGTGATTTTGTTACTATAGCTTCCAGCTGTTTCGGAATAGCATTGCTTGACAACAATGGTTCCTGATTCCTCGGTCACATGTGCACAAACCAAGGGATATATATGTCATGAGAAAACCTGACAATGATATCAAATTTGAAACGCTGTACCATCGTTGCATTCATAGCCACACGAAAAACATGATGTCCACCTCTGAATAATAAACCCCCCCTTGATCAAGCGCGGGTGCGAAATAGTGAAATCCAGAAAATCCAGAAAAAATATTGCTTTGAATTGGAAATGAAAGGAACGGAAAGGACATGAAAGGAAAATAAAAGGAAAGGAAAGGACACGAAAGCAATCAATGTAAGTAGCGATGAAGGAATTGTAAAGGGGCTAAACCTAAATAACCATAGCCCTCAATAAAGCTCAATCCTTTCAACCAAAAGGAAATCCAAAGGAATTGTAAAGGACACTACAAAAAAAAGAACCAGCCAGGAATTGTTTTGTATTATTTGAAGTCTGGAGTAATTGAAGGTTTGGGCTGCTTGTGGGGGGTGGTCTTTGTGTGTTGATTTCAGGTTCCAAATGGCAATGCCCAAATAAGCAGTTTTAAAAAGGAAAATGCAGCAGCCAAATCAGAAATCCAGAAAGGATTGCCTTCAACAAAGCTAAAGCTTTTCAACCAAAAGGAAATCTAAAAGAATTGTAAAGGAAGCCGCCAAAAGAACCAGGTTTTGGAATCAGCTGAAAGCTCAGAATCAGTTTGGATGAATCAAGGTCTGCAAGCAGCTGAAAATCATGGTCCAGAAAAAATCGTATTTATTTGGGACAAATGTATTATTTGTTTTTGAACACATTGAGTGTTATTCACGGGCCATTTCTAAATCAGAAGTCAACATTACCCGGACAAGGCGATGGAGAAAGGCGAGCGACACGGACAAGACTTGAACAAGGCCGGACAAGGCGGCGCTGCCAAGCAGACAAGGAGAACGTCGGGCCCACAGCAGCGCAGCGGACACGGCAGAAAAGAAAGCCCACGGTGTGGACACAGCTATCATGGCCAGCCATTTCGTTCTTTATTTGATTGGGGAACAAGAGGATGACACGGGTTCGGCTAGAAGACAGCAGGAGGAGGCCAAGTTGAAGAGGAGGACACAGAGTTCGCGAGTGTGGCCGAGGACACCACGCGGACAAGAGAAGGCGGTTCGCCAGCGCGGGCAGAGGAGGACAAGAACGGGACAACGAACGCGGCTCAGCACCTGCACAGGGTTCATGCGCGGCCAGAGACTGCGGTCAGTGTTTTCCCTAAGAGAGAACCCCAAGGAAATTATTTAGGTGTGAAACCTCTTCAAATGAGAGTTTTATTCATCACGAGTCTACATACAATTTATATATATATAATATAGTTTAATAAGAAAAACGTACCCAAGGGGTTGGCTTCGGGTCCGTTTCGGACCTCAGGTGTCAGGCCCAAGGATTGTTAGGGTGGAAAGCAGGGCTCACTCCATGGCTGCCGTCATGGTTCGCTCATCCTGCCGTCGACGGCAGACAGAACGGACGCAAAAAAAATCACAAAGTTCGTATTGGGAATAGAGAGACCCCCACCATACCAAAGTGTGAGAAAAATGCACGGTGTAAAACAAAACAGGATGGGTTCCTCTGGTCATTCTCTCGATTTTGAGCCACATCCATTTACCGACCTCAAAGCACGGCCATTTTCTCCATTGAGTGGAGCTCCGCTCCGATGTGCGAGCCTTGGGCTCACCTGAGGAGCATCGTCGATACATTTGGGAGCCACCTCCACAGCCCAGTTTTGAGTCGCAGAACTCGACAAAAAGAACATTTGCCGACATTCTCCTCACCTCATTCTAGAGGTTGATAGGTGAGTTCAACGCTTAAAAACCCACGTGGCGTGTTCCTTTGGAACAGCCGCACACAAATGCAGGGGTGTGGATCCCCACCCGTCAGAATCCTCAGGTCTCAAGAAGGACTTGACTGAAACATGTTCCAAATATGCTTCGGACCCAAATCTTGCTTGAAAACCAATGATTCAACCTTTACCTGGCGCTTCTCCAATGCCTGAAAGCTGGAAGAAGGCGTAGGAAAATGCCCTGGAGCGTGGAACCTCTAAACGACCACCCTCACCCCTCCCAACACCAGCTTCCACACAGTATCAGTATCCCACACCACTTGGCTGCAAGCTGTAAAACGGTAAAAATTGAAAATTGACTTTTTTTACCGTTTTTACCGGGGGGGGGCTTCCCTTTTCAATATCATATCCGCGATCAAAACGGTAAAATTAATGTTTGTTATTTTTGTACCGTTTTGATCGAGGGGGGCAAACGGGTCTATGTTTTTTCCGTTTTTAACGGAGGGTCACCGCTGTTTCTTCCGCCATATCCGCGGTAGGTAAAAACCGAAAGTTTTCGATCCAAGTGATGTAGGCTTTCATTGCCCTGCAAAAGTTAAAAGTCATGAAATGTTGATCAATCACCAAACTCCTCTTGTCGAAAAGGGCACACGCTTCTATATGGTAGGAGGAGTGAACCCCACCTGCTTATAGGAAGATACCCGGGCTGTAACAATAAACCTTTTTGTTGACAGAGGTCTTCTAGCTTGCGACCTGGTCGCGAGGCATTGTCGCGGTAAAAACGGTCCAAAGTGAAAATTACTAGTTGCGTTGTGTACTTTTTTAATGAAGAGTCGCTTGCTCTTTTTGCTTCTACCATATCGGTAAAATTCAAAGTTGTGTTGTTTTCCGTTTTTGTAGGTGGACTTGTCCTTTTCTTTTCTACCATCTCCGTGTTTTTTATCTTTTTTACTGGGGGCGCTCCATGTTTAAATTTCATATCCGCGGTAAAAACGGTAAAAATCGAAAAGTTTTGTTTTTTTACCGTTTCTACCGGGGGGGTGCCCCTTTTTCTCTACCATATCTGCGGTAAAAACGGTAAAAATCGAGAATTATATTTTGCTTTACCGTTTTTACCCGGGGGCGCTCCTTTTTCTTCAATTTTCTTCTACCATATCCACGGTAAAAACGGTAAAAATCGAAAATTTCCTTTTTTTACCTTTTTTCCTGCGGGGTCACGAAAGGATACCCCTTAGCAAAACAACGCTCGCGAACCAGCTTAGGCAATCCCCAATTCCATCATCAGATCGGTGATTTTGGAACATTTCGTCTCTTTGCTTCTCGCGTTTCCAACCCAGATTCCAACTAGTTCCAACCAGCCTTGGGGAATCAGTCGAACAAAGGTGCCTTTTGTAATGAAGCTTTTTAGCCCGTGATTCTTCCAATAGGAGGAACACTTCGGAAAAAATGAAACAACTCTCCGGAGCTCTGGTTAGCTCCGGAGCTCAGCTCCGAGTCTCAAATCGTCGAAGACCCTCGTCGTCGCGACGTCGGGCATGCGACGAACGTGACCCTCGTCATGCTCGTCATTGGAAGCTCGCCGCAAGAGATGGCGGAGCGGAATCTCCTCAGAACACAACCCACAATATTTTTCATTCTTGGGCGCGTCAGCAATTGGAATCAAAGGCCGGGTTTTCACACAACAGTTGACTCTCTTGATGTCAAATGAGATCCTGGCACAGTGGCCAATTTTGTCATCCTGAGCACGAAAACGTTCGAAAAGCAAAAAGGACGGAAGACTTTCCTGTTCGTTTGACTGTCCATTTTCAGGTGCCTGAATTCTTGTTGCTCCACTGTCCCCTGCCTCACTGAGTGTGTCAGCATCCCACACCGCCAGTCTCAGCACATCGCTTCGAAAATTGCGAACGTTCAGCATCAAGACTTCATCCTGCAGCAACAAGCTGACAAGCTGGAACGATGCCAGGACCGGACGTAACAGGCAAAGGACGCCAGGGAGAATCGAAGATGGGGGCGCAATGCAAGAGGGACTCACCGAATTTCATTGAAATGAAGCTTACTTGTCCGACTTGTGGCGGTTGTGGGAGTTTCGGGTCTCCCATGGTCTCCCTTTTCCTTCTCTGCGCTTAACTTGGGAGTGTTCTTTCGCAAGTGTCCTGACCCCACATTGGGTTTCATCTACTTTCATGTCTCTTTTGAGGTTCCCAGGTCTCAAACTCACAGCTGCCGTCTTGCCGCTGGGGGCCCAGACCCAAACAGGATTGGCGCAATCTTTCACGGTCTTGGTTCGCACCTTCTGCTGCCCTCCCTCCATCTCCTGCGTTCGTTCGCTGCGCAGAGCAGAGCAGAGCGCACGCTGCGCACTGCATCTGATTTGCACATCCAAAGAGGGCTGCGAATGCAACCAAGACTCTGCAGCAACATATGGATCGCTTTGGCTTGTGACATCCAGGCAAATCAACTGACGAGCCTCACGAAGGCTGGACCTTTCGCCCTTCCGGGCGGGGTCCTGGAACTGTTAGGCGCTCGGCCTATGTAGAAGCACCCAAGGTAGACCTCTTGTTTTGAGCCAAGCTACTGATTTCACTTTGATCAGAAGAACTCCGCCTCAACTGATCTCCCATCAGAACTACAGCTGCAACATGAATTGTCGAAAGGCACAGCTCAAAAGAACTACAGCGCTCCCGGCTGAATTGCATTGATCCAATGGTTGCCATCGATTTGGTCTGCGCAGACCTGACCGTCTCGCTGGTCCGTCTCACAGCTGTCAACTCTCACAGCCATGCAGCAACTCAACCAACCAGATGCCATGCGGCTCAACCAGCTTACCGCTGCCGCTTCGGGTGAAGGCCTTTTCTTGGTATTTCGATCCTGAGCGATTTCATACGAAACATGGCAGGATTTCTGGTACGAAAACTAAGGGGACCCTCAGTCAGCCATGCCGGTTATCAATGAGTTCTTTATGTTCTTTGTATTTCATGTGCGGCAGGAATCTGACAAACTTGTCCAGAGCCACCATGAACTCTGCCTTAGGCCATCAAAACTCTTGAACAAAGCAAACTAAGTACACAACTCCGTAAGGGGGGGAGGGAGGTAGGGAGGGAGGGAAGGAGGGAGGGGCGGGGCGGGGGGGGGGGGCGGGGGGGCGGGGCAGGGCAGGGCAGAGGAGGCTTCAACAAAAAGAGGAAGAGAAAGGAGGAAAGGACATGAAGGGAAAGGAAAAGAAACGAGAGCTAGAGCTTCCAGAGTTAACCACCTTTAAGGTCAATGAGGTAATCTTGTTGGACAGCATATGCAGCCCTCCGCCTTGGAAGAAAATACGTGCAGGGATCGGATACGCTAGTCACCCAAACACAGAATGAGTGGACTTCCAGTACATGCACTCGAACAATGCCAGGAGACAAAGTTGTCGCCAGTCTCACACGGCTTCGTAAAGCCTTCTGGCAGCTTGCATTCCAACTCTGAGTTTGCCTCACTCAATCGGAGCATACCAACTTAAACTCACATTTTATGCATGCATTTTGTATCTGTGAAATAGACGGTCCAATCAACAGTTGTGGGCTGTTTCCCATTCCATAGATTGGGCGCATTGTCTCCACTTTGTGTCCGGCTCTCTGTCTCTCTCCCCTTCTGTTTCCTTCTCTAACCTTCTCTCATCCTCTCTCATCCTTTTCTTCCCTTCCCTTCCCTTCCCTTCCCTCTCCGCTCCTCTTCTCTCTTCTCTCCTCTTCTCTCTTCTCTCCTCTTCTCTC